AAACAAAACGACTACACAACAGAACACAACACACTAAGTATACACTCCACACTAAACATCACAAATCTCCCACATCTAAAATCTCTCACTCGCTCTGTCGTTACCGTCACTCCCAAAACTTTCCCCTCTTCCTAAACAACCAAATCCCACGTGTTGACTTTTTTTTTTAAATTGGTCGACATGGTACATTTTTCCACTGATGGGAAAGAGGTGGCTTTTCCACCTTTCTTTACTGTTTTCGCGCTGTCCTTACAAAACGCTTAAAACACACACACACACAAACATGACGACAGTATTTAGAAAAAAGCGTGGCTTATATATATTATCATAACTCTGTATTTACTGGCCTGTAATTAAAATTTAAAAACATTGCATTGAAGTCCGAACTTTCAATTTGGGCTGAAACAGAGACTCAGCATGGCTGCAGCTTGTTGCTATGTCAGCTTAAAATAGTCATGTGATTTGGAGGTGCAGCGTGTCCGTGGACCACGGAGGGTTAATGACACTCACCTTCCTTCCATTTCCAGAGTGTAACATCCAACCACCTGTGTAAAAAGCGAAATTCCCATGGTGTTGTTCAAAATGTGCTCTGGCACAATCATAAGCATGCTTGCTACTGAAAACAAGAAAAAAGCCAGTCCTGCTATGGGCTGATCCATTTGTTAATGGTGGAGGGGGGAACACTATGGAATATATTCAGTTTTAGCATTTATATTCACTGTTGACTGTAACTATGCTCAAAGTGTTAATGCTATCTTATTTTATTAAACAACACTGTCATATGCAAAAATGGGGTGGCACTTGGGGTGGCAAGGGATCATTTTAGGGTGGCACTTGCCACCCCATGCCACCCTTCTAGATCCGCCCCTGACAACACATCCAACCCTGGAGCAGATGTGCTACAGGAGCACAAGAGCACACCAAGTATCTGTTATGTGACAGCTGTGTGCAGCCTTCACATAAATACACAGAGGGAGCAATCAGGGAATGGGTAACAGGAGGGAAACACAGCTGGGGCAAATCAGGCCTAACGAGACAAAGGAAGCAAAACCAGATGCATATACATGAGACAGACTTTCAAAGTAAAACAGGAAACATTACACAGAGACGCGAACTTGACAAGGGGATACAGCTGACAGGGGAGACAGAGCAACTAGCGAACACAGAGACATAAACCATAAGACAGAACTCTAACAAAGAAACCAAAGACTAGAAATGATAAATAATATAATAAACTCAAAAACCCTGGGTCAACGACCCAGGCACCCTAACAGTATCCCTCCATTTAGGAAACTAAGGCTACAGTTCAAACAGCTCACCAAAAGAGGTGATAGAATAGAAGACTGCGGAAATGTTACCTGGTCTCATAACGCTTGATTTCTTCTGCAATGGTGTGAGGGATATTTTCTTGAAACACTTTGGAATGGTTACCAATCATATTTAACACCAAAGCTTACCTGAGAGCTTACCTGAGTATTTTTTTTTTGTTGTTTTTTGTCTATGTCCAAAGTTTACCCATCTTCTGATGGCTACTGTCATGAAGCTCAGATCATATACAGTAAAACTAGTTTCTTGACCATGAAGGCCTAGGACTAGGCCTTCACAGTCACCAGTACTCAGTCTAATAGAGCACCTTTGGGATGTATTAATATGGACCAAAATCTCTGAGGAATCTTTCTAGTACCTCGTTCAATCTGTATCATGAATAATTAGACAGTTGACAGCAAACTAGGCTCTAACCTAATAATAGTAAAGTGTATCTGTCAAAGTAACTGGTGATTGTAACATTGGTGATATAGATCAATGTCATTGTGGCGTTCCGCTAACATAATGATCTCTTTTACTAGGAGTGGATGTGCTGAATGAATTAACCACCTTTCCACGCATTATCAAGACACACCTACCAGTTCAGTTCCTTCCCAAATCATTCTGGGAGCAGAACTCCAAGGTACATGGCTCACAAGTAAGCTATTGGTACGATTCACGGAGACAATCTTCTCAGTGTTTGTTTCTCATTCCTTTCCGGTTTTAGATAATCTATGTGGCTCGTAATGCCAAGGACAGTGCCGTATCCTATTTCCACTTTGATCGCATGAACAAGGTCCAGCCAGAGCCTGGCAGCTGGGAGAGTTTCCTCCAGAGATTCATGGAGGGAAAAAGTGAGTGACAAACCATAAGCATGAATGACTGAATACATTAAATGCGAAAGGTTATTTTATCACTTATGATTTGTCTTCTGGCATCTGTCAGTGGTGTTTGGCTCCTGGTACGAACATGTAAGAGGATGGTGGGAGAAGAAACAGACCTGTTCTAATATCCTGTATTTGTTCTATGAGGACCTGATTGAGGTGAGTGTTGAAGTTACTGTCTGTGAGGCTGTGGACATAAACACATAATAAGGGGTTGTGGGTTTGTTTTATTGTTTTATTTTTGCAGGATACTGAACAAGAACTCGTCCGCATCTGCTCATTCCTGGGACTGTCTCCTACCACAGAGCTGAAGAAACAAGTCACAGAAAAAGTTCAATTTGACAACATGAAGAACAACAAGATGGTGAATGGCTCCGCTGATGAAGTATTCGATTTAAAAATCTCCCCCTTCATGCGCAAAGGTCGGGTACATTCGCCTGTAAGTTTGTTTGCTGAAAGGTGAAGGAGGAGATGTTAACTTTGCTCCTAATTTCTCTATTTTCAGGAAGGGTTGGCGACTGGAATAATCACTTCACTGTACAGCAGGATGAACAGTTTAATGAGGACTACAAGAAGAAGATGAAAAACACTGATCTTCAATTTCGTACTGTTCTGTAGGTGATTATACAGAAGAGTATAACAGTATATCTGCCATTGTGTTAGATATGCAAGTAAAAATAAAGAAAAACATGATAACAAAGGTGGGTTTGAGTTTTATCATTTTTATTTAAATTCAAACAAAAAATGCAGCAAGAAATACAAGAACAAAAGTTCAGTGAGCAAAGTAAACAGATGACGCTAACACTGCACTTCTGCAAAATGGCTAAAGACCAAAAGGGGCACATTTTCTACAGGACTTACTGCTCTGTAGGACAACACTACAGTTGCTGGAGGAACCACGGCTGCCATGAAGTAAAATAGGTAATGGCGGTAATGGCGAGAGCTGATACGGTAAAATTATACAGGTTCACTGGAATGTAGACAGCAACAAAAGGCCATTGTACTGTAAATACTATATACGTCAAGCGTCTCACATCACTGGGAGGTGCTGCAAGTCACCCTGAGGTAACCGGAAAACAAGTAAGGGACTGGCTCTAATCAGGAACAGAGGCATGAGTAACTATGTTTCTTCCCAAATAATGCAAAACAAAATGTCACTTTATCCTCACATATTCAAAACAACATTCAAAGACTGAATCACAATGATAAATCTGTAAGTTTCATTTATAATAAAGTATATCTCAAGTTGGAGCAAAACCGTTCAAGTTTCAGAGGGAACCACTGGGCTATCTTTTGGGATCAGAAACAGTTCAAATGAATTAATGGACAAAATATGGTTTCACCAAAATGTTTTTTTTTTTTTTGTTTGTTTGTTTGTTTTCCCCCCAATAATTTTGTCGCCGCTAATGACAGGAAAAGCTGAAATAAAAAAAAATCAAACCGATCCTGACCGTCAACTGTACACTTCGCTAAACCTCCATCTTTTTTCAATTCTGAGCATAGCCCAAAAAGTCCTTAACATAACATCTGCAGTCAAGCATCAGCTGTCACAGCTCTGCATGTACTAAACAGGCCACAATCTGACGTCGAAATAGCAAAACTGTCTGCACAGCTCAGACGCATAAGCAATATCACTTAGATTGTCTTTCACAGTAACAACTATAACTGTTTCAAATACACCTTTATTCATGAAACATCAAAAATAACTATTTACATTGTTGCTTATACATCATAGATTTCAAAGATATTTTCCTTTTTAGTAATAAAATACTTCAGTCTAGTGCTCAGGCTTGGGGTTAAGTGCTCCGTTATTGAGTCAGGCCTAACTATAGGAATTCTGAGGTTCATGCTAAGCCGGTCTTGTGTGCTGCAGCCCTGCAAAGCTATGAAGCATGTAATTAGATACCAAACATATTGAACTGAATGCAGCTTTTTATTGAGAGGCTTACGTTAAGCATGGTTATTGATTGCAAAGCTCTGTCCTTCAACAAAATGCATCATAGTTCCGTATTTAAAGTCTGTCAATTTGATCAACAGCTAAAAACCTCAGGAACACATGTTAGCAGGTGTCTGTGTCTCATCGCCTGCCTCTTTATGTAACCGGTTTTAAAATACAAGGCAAACTGGACAAGTACAATGATGGCAGCAGCAAGTTAAGAGCTTAGATGTAGTAATCTGCAGCTGAGTCATAATGCTAAGATGCTAGAGACCATTAACCCAAATAATGGGTTTATAAAACCATTAATAATAGCACAGAAACCAACTTTGATTACGTATGGCACAACTTTACATCACGAAGCAAACTGAAATATGAAAGACAGCAAATAAACTCTAGTAAAGGAATCGAACTGATGAGCAATCATATGCAGTCATGTATTTTTCTTTTTGCAGAAACCATTTGAACAGGACACAAAGACACTTGGAGCATCATTTGTCTTTTACCCTTTAAACTTAACGGTGTTAAAGTAATGTTTCCAAGCAAGAACTTGAATATCTAAATCTACTTACTTTCTTGAAAGATTAAATTCATCAGCTTCACAAGTCTGAAGCCAGTCACAAGCACGGACCTGCTAAAGAGCCATTCTCAGGAATTGTATGTAAGTGTGCTCTCAGTGTACTTGAAGTCATACCAGTGTTAAACAGACAAGAAAAAGATAGACAGATGGGAAAGTGAGCGTGCTGTTTGTCTATAAATTATGCTAATCAACAGCTAATCTGATCAACAAAGACAAAAGGCAGCTAGGTGACACCTTTTAAGTTTGTCACCCAGATCCTTGTTTTCATATTTTCACTCTTTTGACAAAAAGTATTATTACACAGTTTAATAATACTATTATCCCAATATTTGCAGCATCCCTGGTTAGGATTAGTTCCTGTTAAATGAATGCGTTAGATGTGCAGTCATTTGGTCCTCATGTCCAAGGTTAGGCTCATAGGTCAATAATCTCGCTGCTGACACTGGCAGAATCGTCATGTCGACTGACTTCCAGGTAACTGCGTGACCCCACTGGCCTCGCAGCTCTCCCTCGCACACTTTCAGAGTCTGGGGTGATAAACGGTCGTGTGTCGTCCACTCCATCGTCTCCCAAATGCCCCGTTGAGGTTCTGGAGGGACGGAGTGACACAGGACAGGACACTGATGAAGGGACACTTGTTGTCCCATTTCCAGCCCATCTGTGACCCTGGTGGGATGGCGTTGGGGGAGCAGTCACCTGCCTACTGGGTACACTACTGAGAATGCTTCCCCCCAGTGGCATGGAAGACTCTGTTGGAGCCTCGCTACTCTCTGAGAGCAACTGAGGATCACTGTTCCTGCGGAGCCAGGGCCCCTGACTGACCCCTGAGCCTGGGGAAGGGGACTGTAAGGTCTGGTTCAAAGGATGAAACAGGCTCCCTCCTTCAAGCAGGTGTTCTCTGTGCAGAGCCTCATCGATGCTGCGGGTCAGGTCGATGGGGGAGGGCGGCCGCAGGTCAAACTCATAGAAAGACAGGGAAGTATCCCTATCCTGATCCAGGCTGCCACTCACAGAGCGCTGTGGAGGCTGGCCAAACGTCTGCAGTCTTAGGAGGGAGCCAGTAGAGCCGTCAGATGTGCCTCGCTCTGCAGAGTGGCCCCTATGGTTCCGTCCCCGGTTGCTGTCTTTGACAAGTGGCTGTGAAACGGCCTGCTCATGGTTCTGATTTCTAATCAGACTCTTGCTGATATCAGCCCCAGGACGCTCCTGGCCAGCCCAGTTGTTAGGCACTTCTCCTACTCCTCCACCTCCTCCTCCTCCTACGCCATTACTGTCAGACTTCCTGCAGGGCTTACCCTTCAGGCTCTGGACTATCTTGGACCAGCAGGTGTGTGTTTGAGGGGAGCCTGCAGAATCACTAGGGGATGCCAGGTCTCCTGCTGCTCTTCCATCCTGGCCACCTTCTTCCCTTCCACGGCAACTCTGAGGCCTCCAGAACACCCACGAGCTCAGGAGGAGCAGGGAGAACCCCCAGGCTAGTTCCAGGAGTCGGGCCCAGAAATGCACTAGCCACCATCCCCAGCTGAAGCGTGTCCAGTCACCTAACAGTCCATAAAGCCACAAGATAGCATGGGCATGCAACCCAAAACACAAAGCCCCAAGAACTGCACACACTGCCAGCACTCTTCCCAGAATCACTCCTATTCTCCTGCTCCCTGTCCAGGCCTTTCTCCGTACCTCTTCGGAAACTCCGGCTTGAGGAACAGCAGGGCAGCGTATACGTGGGAAGACATAGCAAAGAAAGCCCAGGCAGAGACCCAGACCCCAACACAGAGACAGGAATTGTAGGGTGACAGGCACCACAGGAGAGAGGGCTGGGGAGAGCAGATCAGCTGCCAGCAGCAGGGTACACTGCAACACAGTCAGCACAGCCACCAGAGGAGGCCGCTCCATGGTTGGCGGTAACGCACTTATTCCTGCCACCCTCAGTGCCAGCAGCGCCAGGGCAGCATGTGTCCATACCAGGAGGTGCAGAGGCAGGTTGTAGATGGCTGTAACTGCAGGGCGAGGGAGGAATTTTCGTGTGCCATAGGGATCAATGAGAAATAGAGTTGCTCTGAGGCCTCCAGCCAGAAACAGCAGAGCATTGGCCAGTGCAAGAGCACCACGATGAGGACAGTTTGCACCAGGGGACAGTGTGAGGCCAAGAGCAGCTCCAGCAAACAGCAAGAGGAAGAGGCTTGCAGATCCGTAGACGTGAAGTTCCCAGGCGAAAGCAAGTGTCCGGCTTAGATCACCCCAGTAAAGAAGTGTGGCATTAGGTGAGGAATTGGCACTGGGAGAGGGAGCTGGATCAGAAGTGGAATAAGGAGCTGAGTGAGGGTTCCCCCGTAGCTGATGAGAGTGGTTCTTCTGAATAATACCATTCTGATATGTGGGACGAAACCATGTTTGGATGACTGGTACAACACTCGCTGTAAGACTGGAAGAGACCCCTAGAAAAAAAAAAGAAGAACAGAGTTTTGATTTTCAAATGCTGAAATGCACAAAATATGCTTTATTGTTCTGAAGTGATATTAATACAGATGTAGAACCTTTGACAACCACTAGAGGGGTTTAGTTCACCATCACAGTCATGAGCTAGACAGCTGAGACCTTTCAGTTGTGCAGAGTAACCTAATCAGCTCTGCAGAGGTGCATTGTCCAAGGTCTATCTACTCAAATACGCCAAACTGTGAAATCAAATCAACTTTATTTTCCAGGCTCCAGATCATAAAAACTGCTTGTTTAGAATCACCATCCAATATAATAAAAAAGTCCTGGGTGTTCTACCTCTATTCAAATCTTGGCTGTTGTGGAGATCTCCTAAAATCAGGATCTTTTGAGCGCCACGTTTCTCTCTTCAAAATCTCTGAAATCACTTCCTCAGCTGCTTATCCAATTCAGGGTCACCAGAAGGTGAGGAGCAACATCGCCTGTGCACCATTGCATTAGCATCAGTTTTCGTGTCACTCTCATCTCTCTTTTCACTACCATCAGATGTATAACTGTTTCTAAGTATGGAAATAACAAAGTGTTCATGTATAAAAACAGAAGTCTAGAGACTGCATATCGCTTCCTAAAAATGCACATAAATATGGAATCCAAAGACAAGGCACCTCTTCTAAAACCAGTTTTAAAGATGAAATGTCAATCACCC